CTATTAACTAAACTACAGACTTTATTCATAGTTCACTAGTTTTCTCCATTGGTGTCTTTTCTCTGTTTCAGAATCCAATCCAGGATACCACTTCCACATTCATCATGTCCTTTTAGTCTCCTGGGGGTTGTGATAGTTGCCAAGTCTTTTGTTGTTGTTGTTTTTCACAAGATGGTGACAAATGGTAACACTAATCTTTTTGTTATTTAGAACTATAGAAATAGAGCTGCAGAAACAACACTTTGGTAACCAATGGAACAACTTGTAGTGCTTTTAAAATGCTNAGAGCTGCAGAAACAACACTTTGGTAACCAATGGAACAACTTGTAGTGCTTTTAAAATGCTACTGGGTCCCACCTCCAGATATTCTGATTTAATTGGTTTGGGGTACGGCTTCGGCACTAGTATCCTTTAAATCTCTCTAGAAAGTCCACATGCAGTCAAGGTTGAGAACCACTGATTTAAATGTTGGAAAGTCCAACATCTTACCCCAAAGAGCACTAATTCTCAACGTATGGTCCCTGGAACAGCAGATGATTCTGATGTACAAAAAAGTTTGAGAACCAGTGCAATAAAAAAACCTCTGCCAAAGCATTTCCCTCAAATGCCTTAAATAATCCTTGTAAATGAGAACTCAAGACTCACAATGTTTGTCACTTGACAGCTTTATTCTTAGGAAGTTATCCTTCATTGAAACAAATTGCTGAACTGTAACTTTCAATCAATCACTACAGTTTAATTAAGTAATAACTCATAGTTAAATAGTAACTCTACAAAATACAAACCCAAATTTTGTATTAAATTTTATAGAATTCCAAATGGAATTATCCTTGAGAAAATGTTTCTTTCAGTGGAAAACACTTAGAAAATTTACCTATCTGAAACCCTCATACACTGTTAGTGAGGATATAAAATGCTGTTCCTGCTTTGAAAATAGTTTGGCAGTTCCTCAAATGGTTAAACATTGGAATTTCTATATAATACAGCAAGTTCGCTCCTGAGTATATACCCAAGAGAAATGAAAACATATGTCCACGCAAAAACTTGTATATGAATATTCATAGCAGTATTATTTATAACAACTAATTTCAACCCAATTGTGGAAACAACCCAAATGCCCATCGACTGATAAACAGATAAAATTGCCTAGCTACCTTATCTTTATTTTTGAGAAGTGTTACATGTCCTTAAAATATGTGAAATGGCTCCATGAAATTTATTTCTCTAATAATCACTAGCCACTTAGTTTAGGGAAAGACTCCATCATTTAGAATGCAAATAAAAAGCATTTAAAGTTATTCCTAGTGAATTAAATTTTTTAAAAAAACATATAATTACTTGGGCATCCAATTACAATAGAAAGTGAATATATTCCTGAAGTGAGTCAAGTCTGTTTAGCAGATTGGCCCAGGACTCTTATGTAGATTTCTAATTTGATTCATTAGATGCTATGAAACACTAGAGTAAGCTGAAGTTATGAGGAAGCAGAGAGGGNAGAGCTGCAGAAACAACACTTTGGTAACCAATGGAACAACTTGTAGTGCTTTTAAAATGCTCCTGGGTCCCACCTCCAGATATTCTGATTTAATTGGTTTGGGGTACGGCTTGGGCACTAGTATCCTTTAAATCTCTCTAGAAAGTCCACATGCAGTCAAGGTTGAGAACCACTGATTTAAATGTTGGAAAGTCCAACATCTTACCCCAAAGAGCACTAATTCTCAACGTATGGTCCCTGGAACAGCAGATGATTCTGATGTACAAAAAAGTTTGAGAACCAGTGCAATAAAAAAACCTCTGCCAAAGCATTTCCCTCAAATGCCTTAAATAATCCTTGTAAATGAGATCTCAAGACTCACAATGTTTGTCACTTGACAGCTTTATTCTTAGGAAGTTATTCTTCATTGAAACAAATTGCTGAATTGTAACTTTCAATCAATCACTACAGTTTAATTAAGTAATAACTCATAGTTAATTAAATAGTAACTCTACAAAATACAAACCCAAACTATGTATTAAATTTTATAGAATTCCAAACGGAATTATCCTTGAGAAAATGTTTCTTTCAGTGGAAAACACCTAGAAAATCTACCTATCGGAAACCCTCATACACTGTTAGTGAGGATATAAAATGCTGTTCCTGCTTTGAAAATAGTCTGGCAGTTCCTTAAATGGTTAAACATGGAAGTACTATCTAATACAGCAAGTTCACTCATGAGTACATACCCAAGAGAAATGAAAACATATGTCCACACAAAAACTTGTATGTGAATATTCATAGCAGTATTATTTATAACAACTAATTTCAACCCAATTATGGAAACAACCCAAATGCCCATCAACTGATGAACAGATAAAATTGCCTAGCTACCCTATCTTTATAGAATTTTTAAGAAGTGTTACATGTCCTTAAAATCTGTGAAATGGCTCCATGAAATTTATTTCTCTAATAATCACTAGCCACTTAGTTTAGGGAAA